TGGGGGGGGTGCAGCAGAGGGACGCAGGGAAGCCAAGTGGGAGAGGATAGGGGGCGGGGGTAGGGCCGGCCCTCCTCCAGCATTTTCTATTTCAATCTGGTTCCATAGTCAGGATCCAGATCCAGAGATTAGCCCACAGTCATCTGTCTTGGGGTGTGGCACTGTTATGAGCTGTACTTCTTACTAGAGAGAAAAGTGAGGCTGGGCCTTGGCCCCAGCTCTTGGTTAGGGGACGCTGCTGTCCATTTCTTCTAGCCCGATGAGCCCAGGATTTTGGCACTCGAGGTCATGTGGGACGCTGGTTTGAGCTGTGAATTATAGGTGCACATTGCATGTTTGTGCCTTAGGTAGGATCTGTTCGTAAGGGGCAGATGGCAGGTGAGAAAGTGGTTGCTCCAATAAATGGTTTTGTTTTGGTTTTTTGTGGAGTTTGTTTTGTTTTGTTGGTCTTTTTGAGACAGGGTCTCCCTGTAGCCCCAGTTGGCCTGGAACTCACTGTGTAGACCAACCAGGCTGGCCTTCAACTCAGAGATCCACTGCCTCTGCTTCCCCAGTGTTGTGATTAAGGGTGTGTGCCACCATGCCTGAGCTAGGCAAGCACTCCCTGAGGTATTCTAGGCAGGTGCTCTACCTCTGAGTGAAGGTCATGCAAGGTTGGGGAGATGGCTTAGTGGGTGAAATGCTTGCTGCTCGAGCCTGAGGACGTAAGTCTGGATCCCCAGTACCCCCTTTTCAAAAGCCAGGCATGACGGCAAGCATACAATCCCAGTGCTGGGTCATGGAGACAGGAACACACTGGAGTCTCACTAGCCAACTAGTCTATCCAATCAGTGAACTCCAGGTTCTATGAGGGGCTCACTACTATATGTAATTCCAGTTCCAGATGATCCGATACCCTCTTCTGGCCTCCAAGACCAAGCATACTTGTGGTGCACATAGATACATCTGGGGAAATGTCTTACGCATAAAATTTAAAAAAAAAATTTAATTAAGTGGAAGGGCTGGAGAGATGGCTCAGAGGGGAGGGTACCTGCCTCCAAGCCTGATAAACTGGGTTCTTTCCCAACATTCACATGGTACAGGGAGGGAAGAGAGTCCTGCAAGTTATCCTCAGACCTCCACAAGCACAGTGGCACATGTGCACCCTTCCATACACAACAAGTAAATACAATTTTAAAAATAAATTTTAAGAATAGAGGGTGGGGGGCTAGAGAGACGGATCAGTGGTTAAGAGCACTGACTGCTCTTGCAGAGAACCTGGGTTCGATTCCCAGCATCCACATGGCGGCAATGAATCGTCCTTAACTCCAGTTCCAGGGGACTCCGAAGCCCTCTTCTGACCTCTGAGGCATTGCACGACACGGGTGCACCTACCTACATGCAGGCAATACACTCTTAAACATAAAATAAAAATAATAAAAATTTTTAAAGTATATTAAAACAAAAAAAGAATAACGGGTGGGAGTAGTGGCTCACACCTTTAATCCCAGCACTCAAGACGTGGAGGCAGGCAGATCTCTGCATTTGAGGCCACATAGCAAGTTCCAGGCCAACAGAGCTGCAGTGAGATCCTGTCAAAAGAATTGTTTTGGGCTGGAGAGATGGCTCAGAAGTTAAGAACACTGGCTGTTCTTGTAGAAGACCCAGGTTCAAATCCCAGCATTCACATAGCACCTAACAATCGTCCATAACTACTGTTCCAGGGGAGCCAATGCCCTCTCCTGTCCTCTGCAGGCATTGCACAACACAGATGCACTTACATACATGCAGGCATAACACATAAAAAAAATTTTGTCTTAAATAAGAAGAAGGCCAAGCCTGGTGGTGCACATCTTTAATCCCAGCACTCCAGAGGCAGAGGCAGGCAGATCTCCATGAGTTCAAGGCCAGCCTGGTCTACATAGCAAGTTCCAGACCAGCTGAGGCTACAGGGAGACCCTGTCTCAAAAAGACCGAAAAATAATGATGTGAAGAATTGAGGAACATGCTGGATGTGCACATGAGCACCCTCGCACACGTGCACACACAGGAACAGGTGTGCATGCATACACCAAACACGGGCGCACACACAAATAAGTAAAATAAAGGTCATGTGGTATGGGTGCCTGCAGTCAGTCTGTGGCCCTCACTCTGTCCCCCACACGAGCTCATACTCGCACACCTGTAATGCACTCACTGTTTCTTGCTTGTCTTCCATTCTGAATGGCTATTTGAGTTTGGGATCCCTGAGAAATTTCACTGGGGAGCATTCTGTGAAATCTTCTTCCACTGTCCCGCAGGGGATGGTGAAGCTGAAATGGCCTATCTAGATGGGGGGCTGGGGCCTTCTGTGCCAGTGATGGCCAGTCCCTAGGTATGCCATTGTGCCCCACCTGCCTCCATCCACAAGAGGCCGATCCTTAAATGAGCAGCTGTCTTCAGCAGGTTGTGTGAAATCAAAGACCTTCCCATGAGTTGGTGAATGAATCTTCCACTCTATAAGGGGGTTCTGGACTGCAAAGCTCAGCTCCAGAGCGGTGACCTCATCCCAAGTCCCTTTCTCGACTGAAGCAAAGCTTGCACTCCATAAGCAGCTCTTGAAAATCCTCAGCTGCAGGATAAACTTAATGTTAATCAGAGACCTTGATTGCACTGAGTTCACCTGCCTCACTTCAGATCAGAAAGCCATAGTCCAGAGAGGGCTGAGAAGGTGGTCTCCAGCACCCAAGTATCTAGGGGGGCTGTTGGGATGCATTCATTTATTTAACGCATGGTCACTGAACACTTGCTCAGGGCCACATGCATCCTAGGCTCTGGGCAGTGAGTGATGTCCTGCCCTGGTGGAACTGACATTCTGGTGAGCGTGGTGGGGAGGAGTGTCAGACAGGAAACAATTCCAGACTACAATGTGCCACTCAATGACACCCTGGAAAATGAGGCAGGGGAGGGGTGAGGAATTTCACATCTGCCATAACATTTTGTAGAGGTAGAGGCTGGAATGAGGTGAACAAGGCGGGCAGATAAAGGAAGACTGTTCCAGGTACACAGAAATGCCTGGGCAAAGCCCTGGGAAGACAGTGTACCTGGTATGTCTCGGGCACAGTGTACCCAGAGCAGAAAGGGGGGAGCACAGCACAGAAATGCAGTCATAGGAAACTAAAGACAAAAACAAGATGACTTAGGCTTGGAAGACTGAGGCAGGAGGATCACCAGTTTAAGGCCAGTCTGAGCTTCATATCAACTCACACAGGGCCTATCCATATCTGTGGGATTTCAAGTCTATGAACCCAGCACTCAGGAGGCAGGAGGATGGCCATGAATCTGAGGCCAGTCTAGGGCTACATAGTGGGCTCCAGGGCAGCCTGGGTTATATAGTAAAACCTTGTCTCAAAAATAAAAGAATTACACATGAGGGCTAGGAATGTAGCTCAGTAGTAGAGCCACCTGCCTAGAATCCCCCAGTGAGGAGCTGGGAGTGTGGCTCAATGGTAGAGCACCTGCCTAGATTCCCCAGTGAGGAGTAGGAGACACCGCTCAGCAGCAAAGTGCTCTCCCAGCCAGTACAAGGTCCTGGGCTCTGTCCCTAGCACCACTAAAATAAAATAAAACAAAACAAAATAAAAACCAACAACTCTTTTTAAAAATTCACAGGGGGCTAGTGGTCAGGATGAGGACTTTGGAGAGGAAGGCATAATCTGAAATGGTCCCTTGGGTTGTCATGTGGGGGACGGAGGGAGGGTGGCTGGATCCTGGAGGGTTGGGGAGGAGGGGGCTGTAACGATGCAGGAGGAAGCTGGTAGAGGCTGCACCAGGTGGAGGGAACCCAGTGGGGAAAAGTGACTTGACTCTAAAGGTCCTTCCAAAGCATCCTACGCAGCCAGCACTGTCAACATCATGGTGACCAGCCCCTAATGCCTGTGATTGTCCCTGTGTTCCCTCAGACCTCTCCACATTGCTGTGGTCCAAGAAAACATGCCAGCTGTCCACCGGCTAGTCAGCCTTTTCCATCATGGAGGCTGTGAACTGGATGTCTACAACAACCTGCGGCAGGTAAGGGGTACTGGGATCCTGGACCTGGGGCTGAGCAAGAGGCACCTCACATTCCAACTTCCCCTGGAGCTTTAGGAGTCTTGTTCCTGGGAGGGAGGGGCCCCAGGTGAGAGATGCTGGGGGCCCAGCATCCACATCCTGGGAAAAGAGGGCAATAGAGCTGAGCATGGTGGCACGTATCTGTAATCTCAGGATTTAGGACAATGGAGAGTTCGAAGTCAGCCAATGCTACCTAGGGAGACCCTGTCTCAATCAGTCAACCAACCTAGGTATGGTGGCATATACCTGTATCCTAGCACTTAGGATGTGGAGACAGGAGGATCAGGAATTCGAGGTCATCCCCAGGTACAAAGCAAATCTGAGGCCAGCCTGGGCTACATGAGACCCTGTCTCACAGCTCCCTCAAAAAATAAAAAAAGGGGCTGGAGAGATGACTCAGTAGTTAAAAACACTTGCTGGTCTTCCAGAGGACCCGGTTCGCTTCCAAGAACCCACATGGTGGCTAACAACAGTCTGTCTGTTGCCCTTTCCTGGCCTCTGCAGGCTTTGCACAACACAGGTGCACTTACACATGTGCAGAATACACTCATACACATAAAATAAAAATAATAAATAATGAAAAAAAAGAAAAGGATGGTGGAGGTTAGACTTCTGGGTCCCCCGGAAGAAGCAAGGGTCTCGGGCCCTTCATCTGGGAGTGGGGGCGGGGACGCCAGAGACTTCAGTCCCAGGACTCAGAAAATCTGAGGTACAAGGCAAGACTCTGGTCCCTCACAGTCACTGTTCCCCAGACCCCACTCCACCTGGCTGTAATCACCACCTTACCAGCTATGGTCCGGCTCCTGGTGGCAGCTGGTTCCAGCCCCATGGCGCTGGATCGCCATGGTCAGACAGCAGCCCACCTGGCATGTGAGCACCGCAGTCCAAGCTGCCTGCAGGCCCTGCTGGACAGTGCAGCCCCGGGCACCGTGGACCTGGAGGCTCGCAATTACGAAGGTGAGTCCCCGGAGCGGCACAGGGTGAGACTGTCCATCTGGGCCTGACACTTGCCAGGGCCCAGGCCCAGGTTTAACTGTGGCTCCCCCATTCCCCAGGGCTCACCGCCCTGCACGTCGCTGTGAACACCGAGTGTCAAGAGGCTGTGCTGCTGTTGCTGGACCGTGGTGCGGACATAGATGCGGTGGTGAGCCCGTGAGGCTGGATAGGGAGGGGGCGTGGCCAGGGGGCGGAGCTGGTGAAGGAAGACTGGGGGTGGGTGAGGCTTGAAGCCTCTAAGGCGCTGGAGGCTGGACTAAACTGGAGGGATGCCCAAACTTGGAGACAGACTCAGAGAGCCCTGTCCTCCCGCAGGACATTAAGAGCGGCCGCTCTCCCCTCATCCACGCCGTAGAGAACAACAGTCTGAGCATGGTACAGCTGCTGCTGCTGGTGGGTACCCATCCTTGGCTTCACCGCTCTTCTGACGCCAGCCCTGCTGTCAACCCCCATCCCTGGCACTGACCCCATTTTCTAGTTCTCCCCCTTGCTATTCAAATTTGAGTCTCTCTCTTTTTTTTAATTAGATTTATTTCTTTATTTATGGAGGGGGGTGTTGGAGGCTAGAGGACAACATACAGGAATTTGGTTCTCTCCTTCCACCATGTGGGTCCTGGGAATCGAACTTATGTACTCAGTCTTGGCAGCAATCCTCTTTACTCGCTAAGCCATCTTGTCCGACCCTTGGATGGCCTTGCTAACCTACTGCCTTCTGGCTTTTGCCTTGTCTGCCCTCTGTCCACCATCCGGTTCAAACCAGGAACCTTGCTTTCTGACTCCTCCCCTACACCACTGGACCACAATATCCAGCTCTGGCAACTTTTCACCCTCCAGTCTCATGTAGCCCAGGCTGGCCTTGAACTCTCTCTGTTCAACTCCCTTAGCTAGCCCTGAACTCTTAATCCTCCTGCCTCCACCTCCCAAGTACTAGAATTACAGGCATGTGTCACCTTTCTGACACCCTAGCCCCTCCTCCCCCAATCTGGAACCATTCCAGGCTCTGGCCACCCTTGTGAACTCTAGTTATCATCACCTCCCCTTTCCCCTGATGATCCAGGCCAGGTGAGGCCACTGGCACCTCCCAACCCCCATGTCCCCTTCCCACAGCACGGTGCCAACGTGAACGCTCAGATGTACTCCGGCAGCTCTGCATTGCACTCAGCATCTGGCCGTGGGCTCCTGCCACTGGTGCGCACGCTGGTTCGGAGCGGTGCAGACAGCGGCCTCAAGAACTGTCACAACGACACCCCTCTCATGGTGGCCCGAAGCCGCCGGGTGAGTGTCCAGTGTAGGCCTGGGAAGGGGAGTGGGCTAAGGAGGGTGAGGTTGCAAAGGTACTTTGAGGTGGGATGAGGGGGAAACTGAGTCACACAGAAAAAGAAGTGTCATGCCATGCCTGATGGTACAGGCCTTTAATCCCAGCACTGGAAAAGCAGTGGCAGGAGGCTCTCTGTGAGATTGAGGCCAGCCCGATCTACACAGTGAGTTCCAGGCCAGTTGAGGCTATAAAGAGATCCTGTCTTGGGGCCTGGAGAGATGGCTCAGCAGTTAAGAGCACTGACTGCTCTTGCAGAGGACCTGGGTGTGTTTCCCAGCACCCACATGGCAGCTATGAACTGTCCTTAATTCCAGTTCTGGGGGAATCCAAAGCCCTCTTCTGACCTCCACAGCATTGCATGGCACGGGTGCACTCACATACATGCAGGCAATACACTTATACACATAAAATAAAAATAATAAATAAAATTTTTTAAAAAAGAGAGAGAGCCTGTCTTTAAAAAGAAGAAGAAGGTGAGGTGTGGTGGTGCAGGTCTTTAATCCCAGCATTCCAGAGGCAGTGGCATCAGATCTCTGTGAGATTGAGGCCAACCTGGTCTACATAGTGAGTTCCAGGCAAAAAACACGGTCTCAAAAAGACAAGAGAGAGAGAGAGAGAGAGAGAGAGAGAGAGAGAGAGAGAGAGAGAGAAGAGAGAGAGAACTCAGCAGTTAAGAGCATCCGGCTGCTCTTGCAGAAGACTTGGGTTTGGTCCCAGCACCCACATGGTGGCTCACAACCCTCCTCAACTCCAGTTCCAAGGGAGGCTCTCTTCTGACCTCCCCCAGGCATTGCGCATACATGGTACACTTACATAAATGCAGGCTAAACATTCATACACAAAAATAAATAAAATATTTTAACAAAATTTTCTGCATACCTTCACCTGCTAAAGAGATGCTCTCATCTGAATACCCTGGTCACTGGAGGGGCAAAAAGGCAGGGAGAAGGAGAGCAACCAGGGCTGGAGTGGCCTGTGGTGACCCTCATCTTCCCATAGGTCATTGATATCCTAAGGGGGAAGGCCTCCCGGGCTGCCTCCGGGCCACAGCCTGACCCCTCCCCGGACCGAAGTGCCACCACCTCCCCAGAGAACAGTAGTCGAGTCGGCTCCAACGGTGAGAACCGGCCCTGTACCCACTGCCCCAGGACCCTGAGCCAGCCCAGCCCTCTGTCTCCCTCCCCTCACCCTCCTCTCTTTGTCTTCCCCAGGCCTTCCATCTATGTCTTCATCATCCTCCTCGCCTTCACAGTCTCCCCCCAAGGATGCCCCTGGCTTCTCCCTGGCTCCCCACAATTTCTTCCTCCCAGCTACATCCTCACCTGCCTTTCTGCCCTTCCCTGGGGTCCTCCGAGGCCCTGGCCAACCCACGCCCCCCTCCTCAGCTCCAGGAGGCAGCTGAGACGGGTGGGGGGGCAGATCTGGACTCATGAGGAGGGGGGCCTCCCTGCCCTGTGGGGCATACCCTTCTGGAAACTGTGAAGATCTCGCTCTGCCTCCCCCAATCTTCGGGACCAGATTTTGCACCGAGGCACATGCACCTACCCTGGAGCCCCCTTTTCTGTGCATAGATACCCCACAATCTCACCCTTTGCCAAGGACTCCCCTCCTCCACGTATTCTCAGGCACTGGGGCCCCTGTTTGGAATCCACTGGATATTGGTTTCCTTGTTCCCCTCCCAGAACTAATAGAACCAGAGGCCACCCCCTCCCTCTGTCATCCACACAGGGACAAGGAGGGAGGGAGGGGTCTTAGGTGGGCACTGACCACAATGTAAATTATTAGGTGTTTTGGTTGGATCTCTTTTGTAATAAACTATTTTTGTACCATATCCCTTACTTGGCCAGGCCTCTATCATGGAGGTCAGGCAGAAGTGTACTCGTGGGCGCACACACCTGTGCACTGAGTGAATTCGAGTATGCCATTGTGAAATCTCAGGAAATGCTAGGGGTTCCAGAGTATTCCTGGAGGTGCATGTTTCTGAGAGACTCTGCAATTTGTCTGTTACTAAAGCTTTGGTGTTTAGGCTTTTTTTTTTTTTTTAACATTTATTCAGCTTTTTTTTTGTATGAGTGTATTGCATGAATGTAACTGCAGCCTTGTCCTGCAATGCCTGAGGAGGTCAAAAGAAGGCATCAGATTCCCCTGGAACTGAAATTATGGATAGTTGTTAGCCACCATGTGAGTGTTGAGAATCAAACCTAGGTCCTCTGCAAGAGCATCCAGTGCTCTTAACTGCTGAGCCATCTCTCCAACACCCTTATTTATCTATTGTGTATGTGTGTGTGTGCCTCATTTCTCCCCATCATGTGGGTTCTGGGAATCCAACTCAGATCCTCATGCGTGGTGGCAAGCACCTTTACCCACTGAGCCATCTCGCTGGTTCCTGGTCATCCCGTTTAACTTATTTTGCTTTGTTTTGTTTTTTATGTATATGAGTGTTTTGCCTATATGTATGTAGGTGCACCGTGTGCGTGAAACACCCCTGGAAGAGGGCATCAGATCATCTGGAGTCATGGACAGTTGTTAGGTGCTACGTTGGGGCTGGGAACCAAACCCAGGTCCTCTGAAAGAGCAGCAAGTGCTTGTAATCCCTGAGCCATCTCTCCAGCCTCCTTGTTTTGTTTTGTTTAATATATTTTATTTATTATTTTTATTTTATGCATATGAGTGTATTACCTGCATGTATGTGAGTGCACTCCTGTCGTGCAATGTCATGGAGGTCAGAAGAGGGCATCAGATTCCCCTGGACTTGGAGTTGAGGACGGTTCATAGCTGCCATGTGGGTGCTGGGAATTGAACCCAGGTCCTCTGCAAGAGCAGTCAGTGCTCTTAACTGCTGAGACATCTCTCCAGCCCCCTTGTTTTGGTTTTTTGAGACAGGGTCTTACGTAGTATAAGCTAGCCTCCAACTCACAAGACAGCCAAGGATGACTACAAATTCCTGATCCTCCTGTCTCCACCCCCAAATTCTGGGATTGCAGATGTGTGCCACTACACCCAGCTTTGTTTTTGAGACAGTCTCACCATGTAGCCTAGGCTGGCCTGGAAGTCTCCATCTTCCACCCTCAGCCTCCTGAATGCTGAGATTACAGACATGAGCCCCCACACGTGACTGAGGATTTAGATATTGGAGGGGATGCTGGAGAGATAGCTCAGCAGTTAAGAGCACTGGTGGCTCTTGGAGAGGACCTGGGTTCGATTCCCAGCACCCACATGGTGGCTAACAATTATCCATTACTCTAATTCCAAGGGATCCAGTGCTCTCTTCTGACCTCCGCACGCATTGCACTACATGGGTACATTTACATATATGCAGGCAATACACTCATACACATTTAATAACAATAATAATAAATAATGAAAAATGGAAATTGGAGGGGTCTCAATTCAGCCACTATAATCAAAGAGACAGTTCTGCTTGTAAATGACTGGGTGATGTGTGTGTGCCAGGCCCCCTGCCCCTATGACTGGGCATACTTGTGTGTGCTTGTACTTCTGAGATGTCCCAGTAGCCACCTGGTTTGGAGTGTATATTAGTTCTCTGAGGCTTCCATAACAAGTAAGACACACACTAGATGCCTTAAAACAAGAAAGATAAGGCCTGTCTCCGCAGAACTCCAGAGACTGACTGTGGAGGGAGGATCACAAGTTCCAGGCAAATGTGAGCTACACTAGGAGTTCTAGGTCACCCTAGACTGCATAATAAGGTCGAGAGGGAAAGGGTAGGGCTGGAGAGATGGCTTAGCAGTTAAGAGCACTGGCTGCTCTTGCAGAGGACCCAGGTTTGATTCCCAGCACCCACATAGCAGCTAACCACCAACTGTGATTCTAGTTCCAAAAGTTCTGATGCCCTCTTCTGGTCTCTGCAGGCATTGCACACTTGTGGTGCACATACATACATAAAAGTAAATCCAAAAAATTTTAAAGGGGAAGAGAGAGAGAGAGAGAGAGAGAGAGAGAGAGAGAGAGAGAGAGAGAGAGAACCAGAAAAATTATTTATTCTCTCCCTACCCTAGAGGCCAGAAATCTGAAGTCACAGAGTCAGGGTGCTGTTTCCCCCAAAGCTCTAAGGAAAATTCATCCTGGAGGGAGAATGTGGGGGGCTGGAGCTTAACTCAAAGGGATGTTCCATGATCCATTCTGTACACCTCCAGCTTCAGGTGGCCCCAGGCAGTCCTTGGTTTGTGCCACATCATTTCACCCTCTGGCTGTCTTCACAGGGCAATCTGCCACTGTGTGCCCATGTCTTCCCTCTTTTTCTCCTCTTTCCTACTGAAGATGGAATCTAGAAACTCATGCATGCTAGGCAAGGGCTCTACCACTGAGCCACGACCCCAGCTCTTCACTGGGGGATTCTAGGCAGCACTCTACCACTGAGCCACACCCCAGCCCCTCACTGGGGGATTCTAGGCAGCACTCTACCACTGAGCCACACCCCAGACCCTCACCGGGGGATTCTAGGCAGGTGCTCTACCACTGAGCCACACCCCAGCCCCTCACTGGGGGATTCTAGGCAGCCCTCTCCCACGGAGCCACACCCCAGCCCCTCAGGGGGGGATTCTAGCCACCCCTCTACCACTGAGCCCCACCCCAGCCCCTCACTGGGGGATTCTAGGCAGCACTCTACCACTGAGCCACACCCCAGCCCCTCAGGGGGGGATTCTAGGCAGCACTCTACCACTGAGCCACACCCCAGCCCCTCACTGGGGGATTCTAGGCAGGTGCTCTACCACTAAGCCACACCCCAGCCCCTCACTGAGGAATTCTAGGCAAGTGCCTTAACTCAGATGTGCCCCTATGCCCCTTTCAAGACAAAGTTCATGATCTCTGGGACCTTTGGCTTTCTGGGTTCACCGTGTCTGACGATGTCACTTCCTCCTTTTCTTTTTTTAAAATATTTTGTCATTTTTTATTTTATGTTTATGAATGTATTGCCTGCATGTTTGTTAAGTCCACCCATGTCATGCAGTGCCCTCAGAGGTCAGAAGGCATCAGATCCCCTGGAACTGGAGCTATGGATGGTTGTTGGCCATCGTGTGGGTGCTGGGAACTGAATGCAGTTCCTCCACAAGAGCAGCCAGTGCTCTAAACTGCTGAGCCATCTCATGCTCCCATCTTTCTTCCTTTCTTGAGACAGGGTCTCATGATGTAGCCCAGTTTGACCTTGAATTCGAAGGCCTCCTGCCTTCACCTCTCAAGTTCTGGGATTGCAGATCCACACCACCATACTTGGCTAAGAACTGATTTTGAGGACATTAAAAGGTGACAATGGTCTCATCATTCTTGTCCTGATGGAAAAATGAGATAATGAGATCCCAATATATGTGTACTAGCCAGAGTTTTGGAGGTCTAGGGGAGGGCATGTTGAAACAGGGTCTCAGGTAGCCCATAACTACCTCCCAAAGTGCTGGTTTGTATCACCATGCCTACCTCTAGCAGCAAGAATTGGTTTTTGAGGGGTGTTTTTGTTTTTGTTTTTTGTTATTGTTGTTTTTTGAGACAGCGTCTCTCTGTAGCCCCAGCTTGCCTGGAACTCGCTGTGTAGACCAAGTTGGCCTTGAACTCAGAAATCAGCCTGCCTCTGCCTCCTGAGTGCTGGGATTAAAGGTGTGCACCACCAGATTTAGCAAGAACTTTTTATTCCACAGGTATGACAAAAACCAAACAGAGTAGTTGATCTGGGCATGATGGCTCATGTCTATAATCCCGGCACTCAGAAGGCTAAGGGAGGAAGACTGTGAGTTGGAAGTCAATCCAGGCTGTACCATGAGGTCCTGTTATACAAAAAAAGAAGGAAATGGAAGAGGTGGAGAGGGAACAGGGAGGAAAGAATAAAAGGAGGGCAGGGGAGAGAAAGGGAAGGAGGGGAAGAGCCAGATGTGGTGGCTTATCCCTGTGGTACCTGAAGATACCCTGTGACACCTGAGGATTGATGCAGATTTAAGGTCTGCATAGGGCCAGCCAGGAATCAAAAGCAAAACAAAGGGCCAAGACAGGCATGGCTTTTATCCCAGTACTCAGGAAGCAGAGGCAGGCAGATCTCTGTGAGTTTGAGGCCAGCCTGGCCTCCACAGCAAGTTCCAGACCAGCTGGGGCTATCGAGAGACCCCGTCTCAAAATGATAAAACAACAATAACAAAAAACAAACACACACGTACACACACGTACACATACATACACACATAATTTAAAAATAAAAAATAAATAAATGTAAAAAATGAACAAATCAACAACAAAAAAATATGAGGAAAAAGAAGTGTATGTCATTGTTCCTTAAAGCTACAACCCAAGTCAGAACATCTTAGAGGCCAGAATTTAGTCATACAATCACACCTACCACGGAAATGTAGGGGCATTTTGTTGTTTGTTTTGAGACAGAGTCTAACTACGTAGACCAGGCTGGCCTGGAACTCACAGAGATCTGCCTGCCTCTATCTCCCAAGTGAAGGTATGTGCCACCATGCCTGACAGAAATTATAGTTTTATCTTGGAAGCACATACTCGGGTAAAATTGACAAGTTCTGTTTTGAAAGGAAAAGGAGAAAATGGGCCACCGAGTTGGCTCATTAGGTAAGGGGTAAGGGTGCTTGCCACCAAGCTGCCTGACTGACTACCTGAGTTTAATCTCCAGAACCCGCTAGGTGGAAGGAAAGAACTGACCTCCACAAGTTATCCTCTGACCTCCTTGTGCTTGCCAGCATACACACAGGCAGGCGCGCGCACGCGCGCGCACACACACACACACACACACACACACACACACATACACACACTCCATGCAGATAAACAATTTTTTTGGTCTTTTTAAGACAGGGTCTTCCTGTAGCC